TGTGAGTTACTGTTTTTGTACATGCTACACGACGTTTTGTTTCGAATCCTGCATGAAATCAATTATAATTCTCGAGCATAATAAATGAAGTTGGTGCGTTCTTCAATTATACACACGGCGAGTATTCAGATTATTCATCTCTAAGGTTACAACGTAAACACACACATACACATACACACACACTAACATACACAATACCCATATATATATATATATATATATATATATATATATATATATATATATATATATATATATATATATGACGTATCTACATTTTGCTTTTCAGAAAATCTTTTATACTACATTTAAATAAAATCCTAATTGTACTTGTTTGCCAAAGCATTCACCACAGAAGCTATACAAAGAGCCGCTGATAATAGAGCCATTGTTATTTAGTAGGGATAAAATGCGACCTCGCAACAATGCGATATCATATTTCTTCGGAAAATTATTTACCACCTTTGTTGACAAAGCACAATGATGTTTTGAATTGTCTTAAATTTACATTTTCAGGCAAAATGCATTCACTGTAGAGCATTTGTAGGTAAACCTATTTACCGATTCTTACTTTTTATCATGCTTGATTTTGTAACCTTTCAAAGAGGAAACAAATCGAACAGGGTGGAAAATTCCAGATGTGCCGATGGACATGCCTTATCTAGGTACATATTCCAGGAGAAAAGTGACCGATGTATAATGGGAATGCCGCATCTTCGGTAATTGACTGTTTTAAATCATGTTTGTCACATTGATTCTGTGTAATAATTGGCATACTTAAAGCTATATTTGCAAAGCTTTGATGAATGCTTGAATACTTGTTTCAAAGTAAATTTTTTTTGCAGGTATAGATCATACAAAGCGACAAAATTGTGTGGTACTGTAATGTTATTTTTATTAATAAACATATAATGCTACTGTTAAAAGTCAGTAAATTGACCATGAAAACAAATTCCAAACACGTATCAATTCTACAATTCCTTCCTTGTTTCACTGAGCGTCTCCTGTGTCGATTTGAACAAATTTTACAAAGGTTATTCATGAGTAAACGAATATTTAGCGACGTTTTGAACGTCGAGTTGTGGGATGGGTAGTTTAGAGCAAACGTCGGTTAGAAGAGCAGTTAGCTGATAATACAAGAATAATCATAAGAATCACGAAGCCACAGCTATTAAGTTGCCACGACCTCGCCCGTGTATATTAACGCCATAAGCTTGCCCCTTGTTCCTTGATCGTATTAAAAAGAACGTCTCAATTATATTTACTTCCTATTACAGAATGAAATCCGTATGTCTGGAGTGGAGTAAAGTAGACGTGAATTTAAATCCAATTTAAAGTTATATATTAGATAAGGGCATTCATACACTTTTCTAAGAAGAAAGGGAAATTGTTTTACGTAGTTTCGGCGACAGTCATGAGTAAGATCAACGTGATGAAGTCTACACCCTCTTATGCATTTCGAGCTAGGATTTACACCGTGAACACAAATCTAATAATTTTCAATTATCTATTGAATTTGATTAGGGAGATTGTAATACATTATCTTGGACAATTTGACGAAACGCTGTGCAAATATTGTGATTTCTGAGTAAATGCTAAAACTATATTATCATTTTCGTAAATAAAATATGCTATTGGTACCTTTTCTAATGATCTTTGTCGTCTTTATGTGTATCTGAAGCGGAGTCCCTCTTGTATCGTCCGCACTGCGTTGAATTCCGTTTTCTATTTACATACTGCAAATTCTGAAATGACCGAATTCAAAAGCTAACAAGATTGATTATCGAATCAAGGTAATAACTACCTTATACGTTTGATACATGTGATTTTGAGATCCATTAGCTAACCTTGTGAATATATATGCAGGTAAAACTTCCTGGTTCTGAATTTTTCATTCGGAGGGCTTTCAGCATTATAGTATCAATACATAATTATACGCACTACTTTTATTTCTTCTTATAGTCACCTTTCAATAATACTGTATTTGTCTATTTAATATGAATTTTAAAACAAACAGCCTCCCTAAAGTGCAAAAATATTTAATCATCATTTATATGTATCTGAAGACGGTTGTAAATTATACTTTACTCAACTTGATGTTGCATGGTAAATGATGGACGACCAAGTTTGAGGTGAACCCATATTCATAGGTACAAAAGCCAGTCTGGTATTTTCCCATGGTGCCTCATATTGAGAGGATTGATTTAATTGGATGTTATTAAATCATACTAGACCGTTACTATTACTCATGCTAACAATGGGTTTTGCACTGTTTATTTTGTCATTATCCCGAGAATATGCCTTAAAACTCATAATCTAATTACTTGAAATACCCCATACTACCACCAACATCTCAAACGTATTATTCGACTCCAATGTTATCTTTGTAAGCGTTAAAGCTTCATGTTATACGCAATAATGTTCGTGTGTGAAATTATGAAAGACATGCACGTTTGGTATTACAAGGTTAATTTGTTTATGTAATATTAATTTTTGGCCTTTTATATCCAGCTGATTATGCAACTTGTATACAAGGAAAAATAATGCAGTCAAATAGGTCTTTGACGTTGGTGTACTGGACCACAAATAAATATATGCCATACAAGCAAGATGCATAGTTACACAATTAAACCACAATACACCACACTTTACTGGATGAACAACTTTAGTTTTGAATGCATTGTTTTGTTTTTTGGAAACACAACACAATATTTGATATCGATGTAAATTTCTGGCTGAAAGCAAACACTTATGCAGGCTATGAGTTTTAACAATTTTTGCTTTTGGATATTTGGATAATTTTATATGTATTTTCAAATCCCTGATAAACGCATGGAGGGTTTATTCCCAGGAGAGATACTTCACCTGACTAAAGCAAATTTAGCATCCTGATTCCAGTCATATGACTCGATTAGTTCGACAGTAAATTCAAATAAAGACCTAAACTATTCAACACTTTGATATTCATCTCGAATGAGACTGATTTCTAGGATTACTTCTTACATCCTAATGAGGCTGATTTCTAGGAATATTGCCTATATCCTAATAAGGATGATCTGTAGGCTTACTGCCTATATCCTAATGAGACTGATTTCAAGGATTACTGCCTATATCCCAATGAGACTGATCTCAAGGATTACTGCCTATATCCCAATGAGACTGATCTCAAGGATTACTGCCTATATCCCAATGAGACAGATCTCAAGGATTACTGCATATATCCCAATGAGACTCATCTCAAGGATTACTATCTATATGATGTTCCGGTGGCCTAGTGGTTAGAGCGTACGCCTCGGATGAGGGAGGGCTCGGGTTCGAACTCAGGCCGAGTCAAACCAAAATCCGTACAAAATCGTACTTAAAGCTACATCGCTTGGCGCTGAGCATTGATATGTTAATATTAGGATTGGTCAGCCTGCCACTTGTCTACGGCATGATGCCACAGTGTTAGACATCACTCTAAACTGTCACACTGCATATATATTAGTTATATGCCTCATTTCAATGAAGAGCACATTGGTTAAAACTTATTCTGAATCTTCTCGCTAGATTTTCTAAAAGTCCTATTGTTCCATGTTTAAAGTCTTAGATAAAATATAAATACACTAACTGTGTCATGAATAGGTCTTTTAAAAATGAATGCTTAAATGTGTCTGGACTAATATAAAAAATACTTTTGAAATAAGTCTGGATGACCTATATTTCCTGTTATACTACAGGTAAATAAAGAACAGAGTATAGCTTGTTGTTTAAATGATATATATATATTGCGCCGCCCAAACTGGAATAAAATTTGCTATCAAGTGACGATTTGAATATTACATGTGTGTTAACCGGCAGTGTTTAAAACTATTTTACAGTTGAAGGATAACAGTGAAATAGTCCATTGTTTAATATCCTTTTTCAAATTAAATGCGTTTTATTGATCAGATTTTATGGTTTATTCGTGGCAATAGCCGTTAAATAAGGTACGTAACGATCCGCTTTACGACATCAGCTAACCATTCGTCAAAATATTTGCAACACGATATACAAAAGTCAATACCTTAACACAGTCATTCTATTTTTTACATTTATCTTTATACATATAAGCAGATGTGACTCGCCACTCTAACAAGGGTCGAAAAACATTTAGCGCAGATATATAAAGTTGCATAAATGGATGTTGTTGAATGTCATTGACAGATTTACTTTAAAGATATTGAACGCAGTTGTCGTGGTGGGGGAGACAAGCTATAGAGCCATCGTAGGTAGAATAATAGAAAGCTTATGTATGTTAACAGTAGATAAACTTATATTGCATTATTATTCTTTTCCTTATTTCTCCTATAAAATGTGATACATGTCATGGCGTGTAGTATGAAAACAACTTTAATATTACCATTACAACTGAAAACAATAAGTTGAGTTCCTTTATCATACATGCTATCTGTAATTTTCTTTATATTCCATAACAGACGTATGGGATACCCATGACCTTGAGCTATTTTAAGGTAGCTATATAAGCAGAGATACACAAAACCAAACATATTCACCGCGCAAATAAGGTGTCTCAAGCCGCAACACCTCTTTATTTTCTATCAAGGTTGAAACAACCAGTCTGTTAACAATCAATAAGTTGCTTTTAGCCTAATAAATATACAATTTAGAGACAAGTATATGTGCATTTAGACTTCAGTAATTTAATCCAAGCAAATAACTGTACACACTTTTCGTATTACTCTATTATTTGTGTATATATGACTGCATTATAATTGATAAGATGTGATTTTAGATTTTTTACGTACCTTTAACAGTTTTGCTTTTTATATTGCTTCGATAACTGCAATGTGACAGTTTATAGTGATGTCTGGCACTGGGACATCATGCCACATACAAGTGACATGATGTCCCACCCACTCACATTATACTGATACCACGCCGACCAATCCTAACCCTAACCTCTCAAAGTTGTACGCCAAGCGATGCAACTGTCAGTACCATTTTTAAAGTCTTTGGTACGACTCAGCTTGGGTTCGAACCCGCGACCACCCGCATCCGAGGCGGACGCTCTAACCACTAGGCCACTGGCTCGTTTGAAATGTATTGTAAAACAAGTTATCCTCCCAAAGAGATACGACTTTGTTTAATAGAAAATAATGATGTACACTACCAGCAAATATCACTAATGTCATCTCACTAAAGTATCATGCCTTGTTTTTGAAACAATACCAAACAAAAATTTAGGTGCGAACTCCATTTTTCATAGAGTACACGAGATTTATAGTTTCCAAAGGTACTACATTTTCGTTTTGTACTAAACTTATTGGTTTCGGTTTTTGCTATATATTATAACATCATGTGTACTGCGTGCTCAGTCATTTAAAAGCGTCAATATCAGCAACATGCAGTGCCATCAGTCCACCGGGGAACATTGTCAGTGGCCATTTATTCGCAGTGTATGGTATGGTCTGAAGAGCTCCACAGCAATAAGAAGAGTTAGCTGCCTGATTCCATCGGACAAGGTTTACTGCACAACGACCTTGTCCTGTTTGAAAACGGTTCAGTTTGGTACACCGATGATGTGGAAGGTTGAAGGCAGGAGGGAAAACAAATGGCTCAGCTATGAGGAAGTGGTTTGCAATATCTGTTAAAGTCTACTCAACGCACCATGCCGAAATAGCGTTCATGTCGTACGGTAACGAACCAACTAGATTGGGCTGTCAAGCGGACTGCTGGATGTGGTTTTTACTAGCATATAACTTCTTCAACAATTATGTGGTTGCTTCTTGTGAACGCAGATGTGGAGGATGAATATTGCTAAATACTGGCAGCCATAGTAAAGGAGTAAGACGTAGTGTTCCAGAGATTATGAGCATTATTGTGCTGAGCTGAAAATCAGTAAGCTTAGTATGGGATGATCGAGCCAATAGAGGAGTGCAATAATCGGTTATCGAATCGCAGATGGTCAGTGCTGATGTCTTGAGTGTCTGAGCACTAGCGCCCCATGGTTGAGCCAGCCAGTATGCGGAGTACGTTGTTTCGAGTGTTACGTTTTTCTGAAGGTTTATTCAGGTAGTTGTAGATAGTCATTGATCTGTTCAGAGTTCCACCTAGGTATGCTGGTGTCTGATCGTGTTTTGTCTTCTGCCAAATGGTGAGGATGCAAAGCTCATGGTTCGCATTTGCTTTATTATGGTGGAAAACGCAAGAGACTGTCTTTGTTAGGCTTAGCATTAGACGCCATTTCTTGAAGAAGTTCGTCATAACCTCAGGTCCTTGTTTAGTACATTCTCAAGCTCAGCAAACGAGCAACTTTGAGTTCCGAGAGCAATGTCATCTGCATACGTGAACTTGTGCGACTGTGTTACAGGTACGTCATTGAACAAACTGGGCGAAAGAAGAGACTCTTGCGGCAGTTCATTAGTCTGACACCTCCACAAGTGCAACTTTCTCTGATGTGCACTCTGAAGCTCGGCAATATTCTGTAAATTTTCAATATCAGCGCTATTAGATCTAGAAAACAGATTCAGGTTTTAGGTTCCAACATATGTTGATCGGAAGTGCTACGGACATGCCCGAAACCTGCCTGCTTAAAATCGATGATATTATATAATTCAGAATCAATTCTTTGGAGAATAAGGCGTTCAAATACCTTAAAACTGACTGAAATGAAGGAGATTGGCCGATAACTTGCCGCAGTATTGAGACCTATGCCAGGCTTTAGTATTGCAGTTAATCTTTGCCTGTTGACACAAGGTCGGCATGTATTATTCCCTAACAACCCGGATGTAAAAGTCAGCAAGCCATTCAATTGCTGTCGGGCCAAGATACTCCAGGAACTCACGCAGGATTTCTTGATTTGATGTTGCATAGCACCGTTTCAAGTTATATTGTTGCAAACGCATCTGGAGTATTTTGATCTAGTCCATCTGACTTCTGACAGCAGTATTGTAGCCACACATCTAGTACTTGACGTTGGTGCAGTTCTTCATGGGTGGTTTTGCCACTTGTAATAAGTGCTTAGCTACATTATTTGGCTTGACAACAGGGTGAGGTTGAACTGGTGTTTGCTGAGCTGTACCAATTCCAAGAATCAAGTTTAGCATTATCGGAGCGCGTAAAGATGAGTGAGTCTGTAGTTTCCTCACAGCGAAGTTTGCGTGGCAAAGTCCATGAAATCGATCAAATGATTCGCTACGTCTGGGTCTCCAGATTTTTCGTATTCCTTGAGATGAGCCTGGCATTCTTCCTTCAAACAGGGTGTGTAGACTGGATGACGACCACAAAAATAGAGTGAGTGGCTGTCTTGAATATGGGTCTTTGGAAGCGGTGGTAGGATTACTTGATTGGGATGCAGTGAGATTGTACTTTGACTATGCTACGCTCCAGTATGTAAGCGTATTTTGTCCAGGCTACTTTGCTGAAATTCCAGCTCCGCTGTGAAGAGCTGTTTATAGACATCAGCTGAAGTCAAATTTGTCTGTGTTGACTGTGTGGGAAGTCATCTAGAACAGTTTGGCTGACTGGCTGAGGATGGTCACCAATAGATTGGACCCAGTGGAGGTCACGTAAATAGCCCCACGTTGCTTGGAGTTGTTGGTCAGAAGGAGGTCATTGTTTATTTCCCACTCTACCAAGTGTTCCCCATCTTCATCGGAGTGTGAGTAGCCATAGTCAGGTGATAACTGTTGAAGTTGTCATTATAGACGGCTGGCTGTTCAAGCTTTGGAAGCATATTGTTGTTCCAGTGGGTAATAGGCGGTTTGTAGACATTAGCAATCATATACCATCCAACCAGGACCACATCATAGAATCTTTTTAGAGGAAATTGGAGAGACAACAGTTATGTCAAAGCGTGTATATGTAGCATGGCCAAATTTAGGATATAGAGTTCATGAAATAAGATCAAAGCTTCCAGTGGTATATCGTGCTACCACCTGGTCTGCTACGTGAGTCTCTTACAGACAAATAATATCTACATTATGACGGTGTGATATAGTGATAATGATGGTTCGTTTGGCTGATGAGCTTCCCATTGGTTTTACTAGGTTGCATGAATAGGCCAAATATTTGCAAAATGAGTAGTATTTCTTGTCATGTTGGGTCACAATTGATATTGTATATAAGGAGATAATTAAGCAATCAGTTTCGTTACGACTTTTGGAGTCATTTGCCTTTATTGTATTCTTGTTCTAAGTCTACAAACGTGTTTTATGCTGAATATAGATATTGGCTAAGTGTAAAAACAAGTGTATGAACTGTTGGTAGATTTTACAAACAAGTAATTATGACTTGTGATAACATATTTTTATTTTTCCGTAATTTACGAGTCTAAGCTCTAACAAATGTAACAAAGAATAGTAAACAGCAACAAGCTTATTAAAATTAAACAAAAATGTATTTTCCTAAAATACAAGGCGAAAAATGAAGAAAGAACTAACTGTTTTGCGAATTAAATCCTACAATAATCATAGAATTAGATACTTAAGTCGTATTAATTTAATGTCCTGTATAAAAGTCTATAGAGGTAAAAATTAAGCCCAAGGCTGAAGGTCTTTATGTGTTTTTTAATACCTGTATAATACTGAGGTATCAATAGTCTTTTATTGAGTCACAATAATATAATTCGAGGTTTGATACTTTCTTGTAATATAATTATTAATTAATTATCATTAATTAACTAATAATTAATAATTCAAATATATATGAGATAGAAAAGTACATAAGAAGAAATCTTATGAATGACACAAGCTATACACAAAATGGTATGTTTCAATCCGCGTGAAAGTGCATCTGCTATTAAATTGTATTTTCGATGGCATCTCTGATCTTAATTTTGTATTCCTGAAATATGAAATTCCAAATGAATACCGAATGTGGTTTGCTTTCATTCTTACAAGTGAACGTAAGGCGATGCTGTCAGTAAACACACTGATTGGGAGAAGGAGGTGAACTAATATAGACTTCACATTGTTGTAATGCCAATATCAAAGCCAAACCTAGCTTCGCGAATGTTAAAAAAATTTTTATGTGCTTATTTAATATCATATAAAAATATGTGCCTTCTCGAATGAATACTGTAACAACCCCAACATTACTTGCATTAACAAAAAAATTAAATAATTTGTGAAATTAGTAGCTGAAACGAAACCATGTAGTTGGCTGAAAGTGTATGCTTATTGCACGTGTGTGCAATGATGAAACAGGAAAATTAAAATACACGAAGGTATTATTATAAGAAGAACATTGATTTACCTTCAATCGTGCCAGAGTAAACATAATAACCAAAGCATAATAACACCTGCGAGACGAAATTACCAAGGGAGTATTTTTGATCGTGAAATACAAACGCACATGTTTAGTTGTATATGTTATTTGTGGATTTGAAGGAAGCAACATATTTTGGTCATTTTATGACTAGAATCACGAAATATTCAAATATCTTAGATACACCATATTATTTTCATATTATTATTATATCAACTTTTAATGGTGTCTCATGTGGTACGATCACATTAATCTACACTGCATTCCGAAATAGGCGGATATTCCACATTTTTTGCAGCTATACAGAGCATTCCAACATCATTAATCAATCGTTGTTGCTTGCAATCGAATGAATATAAAATAAACAATGTGGCTGCGTTTGAGAATATGTTGGCAGATATAAAAGACTCAAGTATTGATCGCAAACACTTTATCTAATCAACACAGCATTCACTTCCTGCCATGTTTGTATCAGAGTGTATATATGTGTACCACATTTATAACAAACCATGACCCAGTAGTAACAAAGACAGGTTCATGACCTTTTTTGGAAACCATTTGAAGACATAGACATCCGTACTAGAATCTACCTTGTCCCCATTGCATGGGTTTACGTGTGTGCAAAATTAAAAGTGAAATAAGTGCAACGGTCAAGTATGGGCTATGACATGAAGGGATAGAAGAATGGCGAATGACAGTGACTGAAACGGGTACAAAAATGCCAAAACATCCAATATTTGAAGACCTGCAAAATATGAACACAATTCAACGTATTGCATCGATTTCACTTGAAGAGATGTATTATAATAAGATTATACGTATCG